CCATGGAAGGAAAGCACAGATGACTGGGGGACTGCTACAGTAGAACAGCATCTAGCGAGTCTAGATTGTGTGGAGTGGTCTGTACAGAACCCCACATCACCACCAGCCAGTATAACCCAGTTCCACCTCTGGTTACAGGCACCCAAGACCAGCTGAGAAAGTGGTGGATAAAATCTGTCAGTCAGAGCTGCTTCTCCAACATCCAAGACAGCAGACACCAAATTGTGAAACATGGGGAAGTTATGAGCTTCTCTGAACTGGGAAGTACCTGCCAAGGTGACCATGGATCACAAAGATACCTGGGTCATGTATAGCTAATGAATAAATTGCTGGGAACAAGTCATTCCTCTGCAACACTGGACCAGAGACTGACTATTTGTCCAAGGGTTTGTTTCTCAACATGTTTACTATATAGTACCCATTACATAAATGGTGTATCAGCCAGGTGTTTGACGAAAACCCACAAGGGAGAGGCTTTGGCAACAACCACAGGTAATTGTGAATGAGGTAAAGCAAATTTTGCCCTGATGTTCTAGCATTGACATCCTCTGGATGGGCTTACTGCTGTAACCCAGTTTCGTCTTTGCAGCAGGTAAACTGATGTTCTGGGGAAGAGTAATACAACTCACTCGGTCCAGGAACAGCAGACTGCATGAGTGTATGTGGCAAGAGGAATCATAGAACTTCCATATACACAAATGGTATTCCATTGTGGGTAGAGATGTAATCTCTACTGACCATGCAAAAATCACAGTGTATGAGACTGGCCACAGCCTGTGACCAAGCAAGAAGTTCACAGTTTTATTGATTTTGCATTGTATTACTGTCATTTTGTGGCCAACTTCTCCAAGATTGCTGAACCATTATCTGCTCTCACTAAGTTGAGATGCACTTTAGATGGGTGAGGAATGTGAGAAAGCATTCCTATCACTAAAATGTGTTTTACTGAAAACTCCAGTGCTGATGTATCCATAACAGGGCTACAAGTGGAATTGTAGTAATGTTATTACAGTTGCACGATGGAATAGAATGTGTACTCACATATGCTAATTGTGTGGTCACAGCTTCTGAGTACATATACTGTATGATGACGAAGTAACTGCTTGAAGATACAATCTTCACGTAACATTACCAGCACTACTTGTATGGTAGAAAGTTCGCTGATGTGGCTTATGAAGTTTAAAAATCCAGAAGGGATGACTGTACATTAAATAACGTTGTGGGAGGATTACTTTGTTATACAGCATTATCTGGACCTGCAACATGGAAATACAGACAGATTGTTTTGTTACATGGCGAAACAATGTTTTTTTACCGAATGTATTGACACTGTGTGGGAATTAAAATTATTTCTGCCATAGTTATGTCAAGCCACACAGCAGGAATTTCAACTAGTGATTAGATATAACGATTAATGCTGCGAGTTTTGGGAAAAGCCCTGAAGGCCCCAAACCTAGCATGGGTACTTCTTGCCATGTACAGGTGGCTAAGAGTACAGGAAGCTGTGCTTTACCGTTACAAACCACCAAGATGTGGTTCTCAATCCTATGTTACACCTGGGGCATTATCTTCTTCAGACTTTCCATGACACAAAGATTAGAGGGCACCAAGGTGTTTCACAAATCTGTTCTAACAATTGATGAAAGTTTTACTGGCTACATTCGAGCAAAGATGTTCAGCAATGGTGTAAGCCCTGTATGGGGTGCACTGTTAAGAGAAAAGATTGGCCTACATAGAGTAAACTGTAATAAATAATTTTTGGTTCTCCTCATCAAAGAATAGCACTAGATTTCTCTGGCTCTCTCCTGGTATGTGTTAGTTGCTATGGATTATTTCATTAAGTCAATCAAAGCTTATTTTTTGATCAATAATTCCACACAGTCTGTAACTGAAGTATTGGTGGAATACTGGCTAGCACAATTGGTGTTCCTGAAAATATGTATGGAGCATGGAGCTAATTTCAGTATCCAGCAATTCTTTGAATTGTATAAAGTGAAGTCATATACTTTGCCTTATCACCTACAGTATGATGGTTTAGCAGAAAGGGCAATACAGACTATCAAATGGATGCATGCATAGATTTTAATCTTAACGAAATCTACCGAGTTGAACACTTGCCACACATCATGATGACATACCACGCAAATGAACACATATTGGTTGCTTGTCACACGTGCTCATGTTTGTATCACAAACACTACTTCCTGCAGATGTGATATATGGTCTTCCTCCTAAAGAAGGTGTGCAACAGTATTCATAGAAGTGGTTAAGGTTTATGTTTGTTGATACACACAAACTCATGCATCAACAGCTAGGAAAGGCCACCATATTGGCAGAAGTGATGCTATGAGAAGACCATTAAAGAGCAAAAGTTCCAGCATGGAGACTGGACAGGGTTGTGGTATGTGCCAAAGGTATAGGAGCAGCTTGACTCTGGCTGGATGGGTCGTTACCTTGTGTTCCATCAGATCAGTCCACGAGTTACAGCAGTAGCACTGTATGCATAAGCTGGACACATTCAAAATCCTATCACTAACAAGGCAGGGTGGAACAGTAGTTCTGATGGCACTGATCACTTAAACTCTGATGACAGCATAACACAGACATTGTGGATTTGAACATTTCACATCTCTTTGTACTCTTTGGCATCACATTTATGCTTATTAAAGTTGTACCTTTGTGATGTCACATATGTGTTTCTCCCTTAATAACAGCCTCATAGAGTAAACAAAGGTGTTTTTGAAGTTGAAACACACCAGGCTATCATTTCTGTTCTGGAATTTAAATTCATAGTAGAACCAAAAACAGCCCTTAAGGGTAAACATATTTTCAAAAAAAGTTATAAATCAAAGAAACCTCTGGAGTAAACTGAAACTCTTAACATTTCAAAGTATGATAGTCACATTTAACATAGTAAGAGTAAAATGTTGCACATTTTAAAAGTGAAGGTCAAACTCAGTCAACAAGTTAATGTATCACATATCAATAACTGCATTCAAACTGTTTATACAACAGGGCACCACAAAAAATTAAGTATAAAATACCATGTCAAAATTGTCTATAGCACTAAAGCTCTTCACTGATAAGCATAAAATAGTTGTAAGTTTGGGAATGAGGCCAATTAAAAGTTAGTGTTGGTTTGTACACCCCATGTTTATAGAGATTTCTAGATCTTACACAGATCAATACTTTTCAAGATATACCAGTCAATTATTATGTTCTGATACCTATAAAATATAAGCGGTTCCATTGCCCCACTTGTGTTCAATTTAATTCTTGTCTGTAACAACGTTTCATCTAACAAGCATTTAAATCAGAATTTATGTAATCTATCATTTTATAGGTGAAGGTGAAATTCAGTCAACAAGCTAATGTATCGCGTATCAATAACTGCATTGCTTCACTGTGTATTTGTGCATATGTTATGAATATCACATACACTAGCCTAACAAGTTAATACCAATTTAGTTTTATGTCCACTGCACTGAGAGACAAATGCGCTAAACTGGGGTGCAACAGGGTATTAAAAACTTGACCTTATTTGTGTACTTAACCGTAAACCTTGACAACAGATGATAATCAAAGTACTCGATAAGACTTTTTATACTTAACTGTGAAGCTTGACAACATGTGATAATAAAAGTACTTGGCCTGATTTGTGTACCTAACTCTGGAGCTTGATAATAAATGATATTCAAAGTACTTGACAGGGATTTGTATCCAACACTTAACAGCAATTATCCAAGTGTCTATTTTACACTCATGTAACACTTGTTAATGTTCCATCTAAGGTAGGTGGGAGTAAATAAGTCGGTCTGCAGATAACTACATTAAAAATATCATTGTTAAGGCTTTTATCTGGTGTTAAAATTATTCTTTCCTAAACAAAAATAAATCAATTCAATTCAAAAGATTTTCTTTTCTTATGTTAATATGGCAGTATTATATTCATTACTAAATAGTACATTCTGTACTATCACCTTGTTGATTTTTTCTTTTTTTAGATGTCATTTTAAATTCATTACAGAGACTACTAGTGTTAGGAACCTCAGATATGATAATGTTAAAGTATTCTTAAAAAACTAGCCGCAATCTGCAAAACCTTTGTGGGAGTTTTCATGCCCTTTGCTTGAATTTTCCTTATTCTATTACTTTCATGCACATCATTATGTGTTAGATCGATAAATCCTAATCTATTTGAAAAAATATTATGCGGTCAGACAAACTCACTTAGATGTAACTTTATTTGATGAAACTACACGTACGTTACTTTATTTGATAAAACTACAAGTAAAATAAACTATAAAGTAATGGTATTTATAATAGTGTACAGAGTATGAAACAGTTATGAGTGTTCATTGTATGGCCCGGTTTTACAATTCACACGAAAACAAAGAATAAAACCCATAGTAAAGAAAAAGTAGCTAAAAGGTGTTTATAGCAGTCTATAAAACAAACTGATGCTAAATTATTGCAAAGTAAAGTAAATGTAAAGTTGTAATGAAGGCAAACTTAGCTCAATATGCAGAAACGTCTGAATGCATGTTCACAAAGTGATAAGCATATAGTTTTGAACAAACTGCGCATGTGTCTTTTAGACCTAAATACTTTGAGAAAGCCCATAGGAATTGTATTTAGTGTAATGTTCCTTTTTTTTAGGAAATTTCATGTGGGTTAAGAGTTGTTTGTCTGAAATACTTTGCAAATAAAAAATTATAGTTGAAATCAAAGCCAGTCAAACAACATTGTGCCATCATGTACCATACTTGTTGCATTAAAAAGTTTAACTAAGCAAAAAAACAGGTAAGGTGATTCTAAATGGAAAAGCCGATATGCAATCTGGACTCCTTGGACAAAGGCCTTTCTAACGACTTGAGATTTGTAGCTTTTAATCTAGAAATTTGTGAAAAGACTTCTGGACAGATAAACACAAGCATATTATTTATATGAATAGCCTAAGGGCCCCCAGTCATATGGCTTGATGATATCCTATTATTGTATGGAGCATGATTTTTAACAGACTAAATATATACATACAGTTCAGCTTTTTTTTTTTTCCCCAGTCTTGATATTTCAGACACTCAAAACAAATTTGTTACATTCACCACATTATTTGATACAAACTGAAAACTATTTTCTTTTCCAAAAATGGTATGTCCAGGGCTTTTAGATCTTTAATAATTATAACCAGTATCATTGTGTTTAATAATTTGAGTTACAGTTTAAAAGATTATTCCTTATTATCCCCCCTCCTCCCAATTAACCAACGGTCCAGGAATTTTATTTATTCTACACCTACATTAAGTCCAAAATTAAATTACTTAATGTTAGTGATTACCACAAATTTTTTATTTGTACAATTACAAACCCTAGTAATTTCAAGACCTCTTTCCAAAAGATACTGATATGTGTTTAAATGCCACTTAATAGCTACATGTGGTACTATACCATTTTTCTGCTCAAAAGTACAAAATTAAGGTTAACACGCTAGATAAATGTCATATGTTTAAATGTATTAGTGTCGATAATACTTGCAAAAAAAGTGCCAAATAAATAAGGATTAGTGATTCCTTTGGTGGGTAAAAAAAAAGTATTTCCAACAAATTCATACATCAGTGAAAAAATTAAAGATTGCCAATACCCCCTTACCAAGATAAGATTAAGAGCTTTTATATATATTATTTTATATTATATAGATTCTGGTTACTTGAAATGTGTTGTTAATTTTTATTGACATTCAAGTTTGTGTAAATCCAACATATATTATAAGATCACCTGTGATAAAAAAAACAATAACATTGTAATAAACAAACATGATAATCCCAAAACAACAAAAAAATCGATATATTCTGGTAATATGAAAAGCTGCAAAAGATGAATTTAAGCAACTGTGAAATGCTGTTTACTGACAATGTTAATACAGTTGTAACCACAACTTAAATAATGGTTTTTATCCTAAAAATTTAATATATGTATATATAAAAATCTAATAATATCAGTGATTGAAAAATGCACAAACTTATGTCTTTCAAATGTTAACATCTTTTTTAGCACAGTTGATAAATTATCACAGCACTTGTTCTAAAAGAAAACTCAACTTTCCTTTCTCACATCTCTAGGAAACTAGGAACATACAGTACAGAATTTACAGCAGTCACAAGATAGTAAACGTACATCTATATACAGTCAGAAACACTTATAAAATAGAAATATGATAAAATGATATTCACATGTATGCTTCTAACAAAACTTTCACATTAACTTTATTGAAAAGAAAACTTAACATATGATAATGGCCATTATCATCTGCAACAAGGGTAGAATTACACAAGTGTACACATATACATTTGAAAAATAATAATAATAATAATAATAACAGTAATAACAATCGGTTACTTGACCTTAACCTACATGCAAATGAGGGACATACATCTCTTGAAGTCAATTTCTAGCTAAAGGAAAGCAATATGACTTCCAGTCCTTTATTCAGTGACACATTCAGGTACAAAAAAATATCCTCAGTGGCTCTGAACTGAGAAGTAGATACCCGCACATTTTGTACTAAATCACCTCTCACCACATAATGTGACCATACGCTGAAACAACTCTCACATCATTCTGTGGTGTTCATGTTTGGATACCAAAGCTTCCAACAATCGTAGACGTGCTTTTAAATGCTGAAAAAGATCAAAAATATATACAGCAATGCATATCAATTTCTACACTTAAAGCATAAGATGATCAATAAAAGCATATAAGAAAGTTCAACGTAATGAGGTTATTCGATGACGAGGAACCCACTTTGAGACTAATAATGGCTGGAGATGGCTTGCACGGGTAATGAAGAAAAACTTTAATATAAGTTTAACTTAACAGCAAATGTACACCGTTTCGACAAGGTTTTGTCATCATCAGGTACAAAA